TCTATGTTCTAAGCTGAGGCCAAGCAGTTGGTTTATTATAACTTAACCAATGAAATCAACAGATTGATATATGACACTCCCACATCACAGCACCCTGTGCAGCCACAAATCTTCCTGTCCACCGGAAAGACGTCTCTGAATAGGCCAAGAGCAGAATTGATCTTTGAGTATACACTTAGATATTTGAAAGGCAGTTTGATTCTGTGCCACGACTTTACCCAAACCTAGCTTTTTTCTGTAGGTTCTAGGCATCTGGACTAGGGTTTGACTTTTGCCCGGCAAGTTCTTTATCTCCTGAGCCCCAACACTTGGAGTTTTTAATCCCTCCCAATAATCCTTTTTTGCTTGCCTTCTTCTAACTGTAATGGAAATTCATTTAGTCAAGAGGAGCTCTGAGGCAGTGGGGGGATGGGATGAGCAGTGCATGTTACCATGGCATCTGAATGGTCATGTTCTCCTTGGGATCCAGAAAGACCTTTTGTTTATTCCATCATATTTCAATCAACATGTTCTGTCTGTATTGTAGTCACTAAAAATGTAGTTTATTTATAAGTCTTACAGAGGAAGAGAAGATTGACACAAGTAAGGTTTCTAATAAATAACTGGTCTTTCAATGATTGATTAGTATAATCCCAACTTCGGGATTTATGAATCAGTGAAAAAATTAGAATTGTGGGGGCTGGAGAGATGGCTCAGAGGTTAAGAGCATTGCCTGCTCTTCCAAAGGTCCTGAGTTCAATTCCCAGCAACCATATGGTGGCTCACAACCATCTGTAATGGGGTCTGGTGCCCTCTTCTGGCCTGCACGCATACATGGAAGGAATGCTGTATACATAATAAATAAATAAATATTAAAAAAAAAGAATTAGAACTGTGAACTGTGAGAATATAAGAAATTGCTGGGTGTGGTGGCTCACATCTGTAGCTCCAGGACTCAGGAGGCAGAGGTAGGAGGATGCTCTAAACTGCTGAACCATCTCTCCAGCCCTCAATTTTATATTCTTAAAAAAAAAGCATTGTGTATGTGAATGGGTTGGTATCTTTTATCATTCAGTCCTCATTCTAAGGATGAGGACCCTGAGGTCTGAGAGGATAAAGCACATGGTGGCAGGACTGGGATTCAGATAGTCTGACCTTTTGCCAACCGAGTCATGATGTTTCTTGCTGAATAGCAGAAGCAGCGATTTCCAAGGAGTTTGTAACTCTGCCATAGTTCTGCATACCAAGAACACTGTTCCCAGCGACACAGCAGGTAGGGGCAGAGCCAGCCTGGGACCCCTGGATCCCAACAGTCTGCCAGGCAGCCCATGTGTCCTTTCCAAATTCCAAAAAGAGGTGTGTGTTTGTGTGTGTGTGTGTGTGTGTGTGTGTATGTGTGTGTGTGTGTGTGAGAGAGAGAGGGGGGGGGAGCGCACATGTGCGTACACGTGCCAATGAATTGAAAGAATACACACACAACTGTAAACTCCATGCCGCTATTCAGCAAGCATGTGGCATCTGGGGTGGCCTGGGCTCTGAAGCCCCATGGGCACACCTGTTCTCTTATACCCCTGCATCTATTTTGTTTCATCCCGAATGGAAAAATGCTCACAGACATGCCTGCATTGACAGTTCTGGTTCCACGGATTCCTTCTTCGTGAGTGTGTGTGAGTGTGTGTGAGTGTGTGTGTGTGTGTGTGTTGTATACATAAGAGTCAGAGAGTGATGAGATTAAAGGTCCTTCTTTATTTCTGCCAGAGGGAGCCCCCTGCAAGGTGGTTAAACCTTGATGAAGTTTAGGAGGGCTTTTTAACCATGCAGAAGCCACCCCCACCCCCCCGATTTCAATGCAATGTCTTTCAGCATAGCTCTTTCCCCACCAACTGTCTGCTATGACACCATGGAGCTAAGTAGCGGAGCTGCTGGAATAACAGTTAAGGAGAGAGAACTTAGGCAGCATCGGCAAAGGAACAGATTTTTTCTCTATTCTTACTCTTCACCCTCCTCTTCTTCGAAGACAGGCTGTTGTTACTTAACTTTAGCTGGCCCCATCCATCCTCCTGTCTCAGCCTCCCTATTGATGGGATTACGGACATGTACCCCAATGCACAGCTTAAAAAATGACTTTCAGTGGAGGTGCACGCCTTTAATCCCAGCACTTGGGAGGCAGAGGCAAGTGGATCTCTATGAGTTCAAGGCCAGCCTGGTCTAAGAGTCAGTTCCAGGACAGCCAAGGCTACACAGAGAAACCTTGTCTCAAAACACCAAGTCTTGAAAAAAACCAAAGCAAAAACAAAATATATTTCTTCACATGTATGTGTGTGTGGTGTGCATGGGTATCTGCATGTACGTTCATGTGCATGTGGATGCCTGAGGTTGATCTTTGAACTTTAACTGATTGTCTTCTGCCCCCTGGTCATTGAGACAGGATCTCTCCATTGAATCCAGGGTTTGCCAATGTGGCTAGTCTAGCCAGCCAGCTTGTTTCATGGACCTGCTTTCCAAGTGCTGGAATTATAGGCAGGCTGCCACACCACCTAGCATCTCCATGGGTCCTGGAGAGCTAAATTCTGCTCATCACACTAGTGGTGCTCTGGGTAGTTTTATGTCAGCGTAACACAAGCTAACGTCATCTGAGAGGAGGGGACCTCAGTTGAGAAAATGCCTCCGTAAGATGGGGCTGTAGGCAAGTCTGTAGGGCATTTTCTCAACCCATTGTGGGTGGTACTGTGCTGGTGGTCCTGGGTTCTATAAGAAAGCAGGCCGAGCAAGCCAGTAAGCAGTACCCCTCCATGACCTCTACATCAGGCCCTGAGTCCAGGTTCCTGTCCTGTTTGAGTTTCTGCCCCAACTTCAGACTCACTGAAAAACAGTGATACGGAAGTATAAGCCTAATAAATGCTTTCCCCCCTAGTTTGTGTTTTTGGTCACGGTGTTTCATCGCAGCTGTAGAGGCGCTAAGAAAGGTGGCAGGCACCTTGTCCACTGAGTCATTTCCCCAAACTTTCCCAAAAGGTTTAAACACAAACGTAAGAATGGGAATGAGATAGTAGCTATTAAAACCGACAGGAACAAGATGCGTTTGCCAGGTGGCAGAGATGTCCTGTGCGGCAAAGAGGTCTCAGATGACAGCCATGCAGTCAACAGAGGGCAGTGATGACAGCACTCTGTGTCACCTCAGAGTCTGAGGCTTGTCAGGACTTCGCAGAAACACACATTTATTTGATCACATTGCTACCCTACAAGATGAGTCAGAAATTAACCTCATCTTATATGTAAGGGAAGCGGCACGCTTCCACGGGGGAAGTCAGGTGAGCATGCATCTGGTGTCAGTCTCCTGTCTCCACCATGGTGCTGAAGCCAGTGCTGACAGGACTGGCTAGAAGGATGCAGTGGGGAGCTCTCCAGATCCTGGAGGGCTGTGCGGAACAGGTAGTTGGCACAGGAAGATCTTACCATTCTTCCAGCCAAGTGGTCACCAAACTGTAACAAAATTAGCATCTCTCGCTGAAGGCAGCAGATGATCTTTCCTCCCAGTCATCTGTCCTGGACCTAAGTGGGGCACTAAAGACATGGGAGTGAGTATTGGGATAGGGTCTCCCAGGATGCCTTGCAATTTATCAGGTACATAAATAAGCACAACGATAGCCATGTGTTCCGTTGGCATAGTCTCTTCCTCGGCCGTGCAAATCTTCAAATCTCTCTCTCTGCATCGAGTCCACAAACCAGGCACTTTCTCAGGGAAGGGCTTGCTTCTCTAGCCATATTTTTTTGGCCTCCTCCAGGTCCACGCTCTCGATTCATCCCGCTGCATGAAAAGCTCGCCATTTTAGTCATAGCAGGGATTTTTTGTGAACACACATCCTGCTTAGATCATAATCTTTTCTTCGTGGCATAGGAATCCAAGGGGCTACCAGCAAGGGACTGAAAAACGGCCTTGTCCGATACTGGACGTGTAGTTAGCACTAATGGCAAGCCCAGGAGCTTGCGATTCAGAATCCAGTTCTTCTTCGGCTTGATGAGATCTGCTTGTGTTAGAGTCGGACGGCGTCTTAAAAACGTTCACTCCAGCTCACTGTTTAACGGGAGGGAAACTGAAGAAGGGTCAGAGTACTGAGTAACTAGCTGCTTATAGTCACTCCTCAGGGCTGTTCCCGTGGTTCAAACGCTCTTTTGCCTAGCCACACCCTCTTTGTCTAGCTCCACCCCTTTTGGCCAGCCCCCACCCCTACTTTTAAATGTGGTTCTCCAGGTAGCTCTCTCCTTTCTGAACATCTTATAACGAAACTGCCTTTAAGCCTAACACGGAGAACGTGACTTGAACTGTCTACTGAGCCCATCAGAAAGGACTCGTCACCCTGACGTCCTGGGCGGGCGGTCTTTTCTCCAGCCAGCTGTGCTTTCCTTTTCGGTCCCATTTCTTAAGCTTTTTTAAGAGAAGAGAGAGGAAGAGAGTTTCCATTCGTGTCTGTTTCCCCACAGATACCAAGCAGGCCAGGCTGACTCCTCTGCCTTGGCCTCCCCTTCTCTCCTCTGGTCTAACCTTCCCTCTTGGTGAGGTGAAAGAATCACAACTCCTAAGTTTATAAACCAGATGAGCCCCAGAGTCAAATAAAGGTTTGTGGATTGGGGAACTGACTCTTGGCTTAATGACCCCAAAAGTAATATCTTTAAAAGCTTCCTCGTTCATTTCACGCAAAGTTCAGTTTGATTTATTAGACATGAGCCAGCTTCAGCTCCAGGCTTTCAAACACACCAGGAAGTAAAGCTGAGACAGAGAACAAGATGGGGGACCTTCCTATGTGGGGTCTGGAGGATAGCGGTACAGCGGGTGGGTTTCAGGGGAAATCCCAATATTTTTTTTTCCATGGAGTCCTCAATATGTGCACATAAACATTTTGGAAAAGACCCAGAAAACTATCAGGCTAAAACTAATTATGGAACAGCCTTGCTCAAGGAGAATGCAGAGATTAGTGTGAGGTCTTCACGGAATGTGTGAGACTCAACACAGGAGCCAGACTTGGTGCATAGCTTAGGCTCCTGTGCCAGGCAACGCAGCCGTCATCGACTGGGTGTAGCTGGGAGAAGTGTGCCAGGCTGGTGTGACAGTGAAGGACACCCGCCACCCGTCATGTGGTTTAGAACTGCGAGGGGAAGGACACAAGCACTGTTTGGAGAAGTGAACACTGGGCGGCCCTTTTCCATGCCGTTTCAATGAAAGTTCATGGCTTCAACGTGACTAGTAGACTGCCATTTATCGCATTATTCAATGTCGTATTAGCCATTACGAATGAGTACTCTGGCTGGGTCTAGAGACACGCGGCTATAGATTCCAGCACTTGAGAGGCTGAAGCTGGAAAACTAACTGCAAGTTTGGAGCCAGCTTAGACTATTTAGTAAGAAAAACAAACAAACGAAAATAGATAATAGATAAATAAAAATAAGATTCTGTCTCCCAAGGATAAATAATTCTTTAAATATTCTGGGATAGTTTCTTTTTTATAAATTATTTGTTACTTTTTTAAAACTGAAAGATACAGATTATATATTACTGATGGCATGCTAGCATGTTTTGATGCTCGTATACACTGCAGAATGACTACACTGAGCTAATTCATAAGCACTGCCTCAAGTTTATTATCTGGGAGGAGGAACACATACTCTCTCTTAGCAATTGTCAAGCACAAGAGACATTATTAGTAGTTATAATCACCGTGCCATAAAGGAGAACCTCAAACCCCTTCCTTCCAACTGAAATTTTGCAGCCACTTCCTGGCCTTACCTCAGTTGACCTCTGTGAGTTGTGACAACCGTGCACTTGCTCCCCATTGCCCTTCATTGTAGTTGGAACTGGACTTTATCAGCTTCCTATTCTCTGTCGACACCAACTCCAGACTCTTCTTTGCTAATTCTTTTTTTAGACTTATTTTTATTGTTTTGAATTATGCATATGTATGTAGGTGTGTCTTTGTCCTTGGAGGACAGAGGTGTTAGATATTCTGGAGCTGGAGTTACAGGAGGTTGTGAGCCTTCCTACATGGGTGCTGGGAACTGAAGACGGTTTCTCTATAGGAGCAGTATGTGCTCCTAACCGCTGAGCTGTCTCCCCATCCCATCTTCTGTTAGTTCCTAATTACGTGTTCCTGACAAAGGCAGCCGATAGCCTGCATCTTCCAGTTATGTAACTTTCATTCTTAATTGCTGGGAACATCTCACCCCAGGAGCATTTCTTGACTCCCTTTCAGGATTCTGGAGTCATTTCCAACAGTGACCAGGTTCTTGGACGCCAGGTAGAAGTACCATACTTTTCTCCAAACTTCAAATTATATACAACACTCTGAAATGAGGAACAAAGGAGAAAGGAATGTTGAGGACAGAGGACAGTCTTTTTTCTTGAGTCAAAGGTCATGGTCTTTATGCTTGTGAAAAACAGGTAGAATCACCTATTTGTTCAATTTAAAAAACTTTACTTGTTATGTACATAATTGCATGTACTTATGCCTTTAATGTACTTATGGCATATATATATACACACACACATATATATGATGTATAATGATCAAGTCAAGCTAATTAGCATGCTTATCTCCTAAAATATTTATTGTTTCTTTGTGTCAGGAACATTCAAAATCTTTTCTTCTTACATTTTGAAATCTATGTTATTGTTGACTATGGTCACTCTACTATGCTAAACAACTCTTGAATTTTATCCTAATGGTATTTTCATAATCTTTTCCTCCTTCATAACCCTCCTTTTCCTTCATACCCCTTCTTTTCCTCCCTCTTTACATCCTTCCCAGTCTCTGGGAACCACTTCTCTCCGAGTCCATGACATTTTTAGCTCCTTCATTTCAGTAAGAATATACAGGATTTGATATTCTGGCTCTGGCTTGTTTCACTTTGTTCATGTTTTTAAATAAAAATTATAGTTTGAGGAAGAGACCTGTTTTTTAGGAATCAAGTCAAAGACAGTATGATATAAGCAACCGCCCACAGGACACAGCGAAGGAAGTTTCAAAAAGTAAATGTGACATTATGCGTTTTATATTATGTACAGATCAATGTAAGTGTGCTTGTCACCCGGATATAATTTGGTTAATCTGTTCCTGGCTCTTCCCTCAGGAATCTTCTCTTTCCTGGTACCTTAAATTATTTCCATAGTCTGTTCCTTTTAGAGGAAAAAGATATATCTCCATGGCCTTTCAATTGTGCAGTTTAGCGGCCAGCTGTGATTTTGTGAGAGCTAGTTAAAGTCAGAGGTCATCAGGTGACTGAAAAGGACTGAGTGCTATTGGTGGACTTTGGGGCAGCTTGTTCAAAAATTTAAATATCTGTTTTCTTTTGTTCAGTTTTACCTACTGTGTAAGTTTTGAGCGCTCCATGGAGATCTACTGTATATTCCTTCTAGGTTGTCTTACGAAAAAAAAAATGAACACACAAGTGTGCTGAGAGGCATCCAATCTTTGCTTTACCCAAGAGTTCTACAGTGCTTCCTGCTCTATGGCAGAGAAAATCTGCTGGTGGGTGGAATGCAAGGGAGTGGAGCAGCTCCAGGTCCTCAGATTTAGAAGCCATTTTCTCTTATGGCTCCCCTCCCCATGTCCCATTCTCAGAGGAGAATGAGGAGTGGGTCCTCGTCAAAGTGGCCACTTCTGCTTTTGAGAAGCAAAGCTTCCTCTTTTTCAATTAATTTTAATATTTGTGTGTGTATTTTGTCTTCATGTGAGTCTGTGCATCACATGTGTGCAGTGCCCATGGAGGCCAGAAGAGGGCACTAGATTCCCTGGAACTGGAGTTATAGATAGTTTTGCACCATCATGTGGGTGTTGGCAATTGAACCCAAGTCCTCTGGAAGATCAGTTAACAGCCAGTGCTTGTTAGGAGGCCTTGCTGGTCAGAGGTTGCAGTCTACCATGGCCTGGCAGCTCTCTCCAAGCTTGGCAACATGGAGGACTTCCTGTTATCTGCCCCTTTATGGAGAACGTCTCTAGGATTGGAGGCCTGACTTTATCGGAAAGCTGTCCTTAAGCCTGGAAGCCTGATTTATCTTTAGTGTGATCCTTGACATAATTCCCTGCTAGAGCTCTCCCCCCCTTCCCCCCGTGCATATGATAATTAGTCCTTGTGCTAGGACCTTTACGTAACTATGCTAGGGCAAGTTGTTTAATGCAAATTAGGAGATGCCCAGCCACTGTCCCCAGCCCTTAAATCCCCTTTCAGGAATAAAGCAGAGCTGTAACACATAAACAACTATTTCCCCGGAGAGCTGTCCTTGTCAACACACAGTCAGCCCAACCCGGCAGACCGGAAGTCGATGATCCCAGAGGAAGAAGGAGAACTGCCAAGTGCTCTTAACTGCTGAGCCTCCTCTCGAGCGTCAGAGCTCCTCTCTTGATCAAAGGACTTGTCTGTGGGCCTCATTTACAAAGTTCCAACAAGAGAGCCCCATTCAAACTTCATCTGAGAGAAAGGAAGTTCTCCTTTTCTCTTGACTCACCTTCCTGGGGTTAGCGGTCAGACTTAGTGTTGTTCTCTCTTCTGCTGTTTTCTATAAATCCAGAAGAGTCTGTCTCGGTCGGTTCCACTTGTGCTGCCTGCAACAGCCTGTGCTCCTCCCAGCCCAGGTAACACGGCTCACACTGTCCTGAGACAGTGACACTCCGTTCTCTACATAGTCTGTTAGCTCTCCTACACTCCACCCACGCCATCTTATCTTCTCCCAGATTCCCCACCAGAGCCTCCACCAGGACTGTCTTCTGGAATCCCATCTTGGGGAAAAAGCTTTGACCCTTTGGGAGGGAACGGGGACCCTCCACTGGCAGGAAGCAGTTTTATTTATTTTCTGCATAGTAGGTGTTTAACAAGGAACTGTTTCACGGATGAATAAGTAACGGATGAATATGGTAGGAAACAGCAAAGGCAGAGGTGGAGAGATCTTTGAAACAAAACAGACACGGAAGAGGAAGTTGCTATGGTTTAAATGTGGCCTGTCCCCTTTGAAATCCAGGTTGAAATTCCACTTTTGATATAATGGTCCTGAGAGCTGGAGGCTATTTCTGAGACTTTAAGAGGGATCAGTGGCTTTCTCCCTGGAGGGACTGCATTAGTTGCAGAGAGTGGGGGGTGCCTTGTCATGTCCACACATGTCCGCACATGTCCACACATGTCCACTTGCCCATCCAATGTTCTACCATATTGTGAGACAGTATGAGACCCTTGATGGATGTCACTGCCCAGTCTTAGACTTCCAGCCTCCAATGTAAATGCCTATTCTTTATAAATTACCCAGTCTCAGATATTCAGTGATTGCAATAGAAAAGTACGGGGAGGGGGATGGAGCTCAGCAGTAGAGTGCTTGCTGGGCATGCAAGAGACCCTGGGTTCCATTTCTAGCACTCAAGGGAGAAAAAAGAGAGAAAAACAAAGTAGTAAACAGACAAGAAAGCACGTAACCTGCTCCTGAGACAGATGAGAGGCATTTGTCTCTATGGCACTGGGGCGATGTCAATCATTAAAACATGGTTAAATTCCTGCTAGCCACAGTGGCTCATGTGATCCCAGAGAGGCTGAGGCAAGTAGGATCGCTGTGAGTTTAAGGCCAGCCTCAGCTATAAAATGAATTCCTGTCAGTTGGGGCCAGAATGGGGCCTTTGTCTCTAAAGTAAAAAAATAAAACAGTTAGGTTACCTATTAGTGTCAGTGCTCCTGAAGCTCTTACTGCAAGCGCTCCTGGTGTCCACGTTCCTGTAATGAGACGCTGGGATGGGCAATCTGACTCCCTGATTGATAGTTGGTGGATTCTCCTTTGCTGTGCTGCTTCTCTTAAGCAAAAAGACAGTTGGACACACAGCCAGTCAGACTGCACTGAGACCAATATGTCCATTCTGAACATTCCAAAGACACGCTGAGAAAGCGGCCGGGTGACTGAGGTGAATGTTTTGACTCCAGGAGGTGCATGCTCTCTTAGAGTTTTTGCTATCCTAAGCCTCAGTGAACTCTAGGTGACGCGCAGCCAGTTTTCCCTAGACAAGTGAGACAGTGCTTCCTTTTGTCACCTAGCAGAGGGACAATGCTGTGATTGCTGGAAACACAAGCCTTCATTTGCATGCAAGGCTTGCTTTCCTTAGTGTAAACACCTTTTCTCTGGTGTGTCGGACAGGCTGTTTGGCTTACTTTGTGAGTCACTCGGGAGACACACCTTCTTGTACTCCTTCCCCCATCTTAAATCAGACCCAATAAAAGGCTTCTCTGCAGAGTTTCTGAGCTACGTTTAGTGGAGGAGTCTGAATTGATGACAAGACAAAGAAGCAGCTGAAACACAGGAAACTGAGTGGCAGTGGCGGCGGCGATAGCTAAGTAGTTAGCAGACTAAGGTGCAAAAGGAGGCTGACTGCTTGGCAGCTGAAGAAGGGGCCTCAACAGCAGCTGAGGGAAGAACAAAGAAGGTGGTGAGAACAGAGAAGAGAAACTGTAAGCTCTGTTTGCTGGAAAATTCTAGGCACTGTAAAGACTTAAAGGCAACACAGACTCCAGAGCTTGGGAGTCAGGATGCTGATCCCGGAGGAACCTCAATGCTCAGGCCAGCTAGAAGACGCGATGCAGCTCTGCCAAGGGCTAAGAAATCAGGACTCCCTAGGAACATACGAGAACTACAACCCCGAAGGGCATCACTTGCCAGTGTTGTCGCGTGCCTGCCGCTTTTGTTCACTGCTAATGGCTGGGCTGAGGGACAAAAAAAGCTGCCCAAACCCAGCACTTGAAGAGCTTCTCCCTGCATACCCATAATTTCTACCCAGACAGAGTAAAGGGACATCAGCTTCTGGTCAGTAACTCCGCCGTCAAAGATCCTACCTTGTGTCTTAATTTGGTTCCTGTGATAAAAACAGACCCCAAACAACTTGGGGAGAAAAGAGTTTATTTCAGTTTATAGGTTGCTTTCCCCATTGGGGTTCATCAGCGAAGGAGCTAAAGGCAGGAACCTGGAGTTAGGAACTGAAGCCAAGCCCACGGAGGAACAGCTGCTTGCTGGCTTGCTTCCTTTATCTTCTTCAGCCACCCTTCTTATACAGCCCCGGTTTGTATGCCCCGAGATGGCACTGCCACAGTCAGCTGGATCCTCTTACATCAACTAGCACTTAGGAAAATACACACAGTCACAGGCCAATCTGATCTAGCTAATTCCTCAGCTGAGGGTCGCGCTTTCGGGGTGGCTCTGGGTGTGTCAAGTTGACAGCTGAAGTTAACTACAACACCTAGTTTCCTGATATTTTACTTTCTGTAAATTTTTTCATGAGTCCCAGAATAGTTGGTACACATGAACGTAGCCACATATATTCTCAGCGTGGATACCATGTCAGAGTGGTCGGAGTGAGAAAATAAGCCACTAACCCCTAGTCAGAACCTGATAGGAACCTGGCAGGACTGGAGGCACCCAGAACCGTGGACTACTGCAGAGACATAAGTGGCGTTGAAACTGTCCTTACCTGGGTGCTGTGGTGGTCTAGGATGCTTTCGGTTCCAGGGGTCCTGGAGCTGGGTGGGGAGGTATCAAGGAGGAGTAAGACAGGGGTGGAGTCTACATTCACTTCATCACCATTGACTAAGAATTTAAACTTCTTTCTTCCTGGTTAAAGGGAACGGTTGTGTTGACCTGTTTCTATTGGGCACGAGGACCTGCTTTTTTTGGCTTCTGTCTCTGAGACTCAGGCTTGCTTTCTTCTGGAAACTAAAAATCAACAAACACATCAAGTACCTGTGAAGTGCAAGGGACTTCCTGGCAGCTGCTTCTATCAATGCTTCCTCTGTGGTCAAAGAGTTCTTATTCTTCCGTTTTTAGGGGAGAGAACCTACACCCCGGAAGACTAGCAACTTATCCCATTCTCCTCAGGTAAGAGGCAGATTTGGGAGTTGGACTCAGGAATGTCTTGACTTGTGTCTGGGGCCATATTACCTAGAAGAAGGCAGAGGTCCCAGGTCCATAGGTCCCAGGAAAGAGGATGGTCTGTCCAAGAAGAGTGTAGAGGCCTGAAAATGTTAAGAACAACACGACCAGAGCCCAAGACCAATGGACCGGATATATAATTCTGGATGGAAAAAACGCCAAAGGCTACCATTCATTGAGCTTGTTCGCTATGGATTAGCACCTTCTATACATGGGTCCGGTGAGGGTGGCTCTGTAGCTCTCTCAAGTTCACAAGTCCCACAGAGATGTTGAGTGGTTCCTGAAGGCCATATAGCCAATAAGAGGCAGAGGGAGAGTTTGAACTGAGACAGAACTCTTACAATAGGCAAGGCTGCCCTTACAATTAGAGGGGAAAGTTCCCAGATCTTAGTGTTAATAGGTAGGCTGAACACTAAAAGACAGCTACAGGTACTGTGTCCCCAGTCCTTTAATGTTTACAAGCGTGACTAACAAGTTATGGGAAAATTGTAGTAGGCGACTTCCAGGGCTGGATCCTAAAAGCCAACGAGCTTTGACTTTCTCTGCTGAAACACTCAGTTTTGGATCCCCAGAATGACTATGCTCCAAGGAAGCCCAGACCAAGAACAGGTCACGTGCAGGTGTCCAAGATAGGGGTGGTTAATAAGCCTGTAAAGAATGTGGGTCTCCAGTCCAGCAAGCAAAGTCTTCAAGGGACTGCAGCTTTAGTGGACACCTCAATGCAAACACATAAGAGATCCTGAGACAGAAGTGCTCAGCTGAGCCCCGCCCACTCTTTTTTTAGTCCACAGAACTGTGAGGAAAAGACAGTGGTTCTTTTGAGTCAGTGAGTTGTAGGATCCCATGACTGTTTATTGGAAAGCAACCCTCAGTTTTCTGATCCAGCCTTCCTTCTTGTGAAGTGTTGGTACTTTCTAACAACTGTCAATACTTCCTAAGCTCTTTGGTCTAGGAGCTCCAATTCTTCTTTCACAGATGAGCAGACTACATCTCAAGAGAATCTTCACGTTCCTTCATAGATGTCCTAAATCAACAACTACCACCGCCACCTCTCTGTTACTACTTCCACCCCACCCTACCTTGAAAGAAACAAGCAATGGCAACTGAGTTCACACCAGTTCTTCCTGCTAGCAGATCTGATCCTCTTTGAGTAGATAATGTGCATTGCATTTGAAAGATGTGATATTTAAGTGCCAAAGAAGACATTTCCTTCACCCAGAGTGCTTTCCGCTTCAGCACAATTTAAACAATCACTATGTCTTGGATCTGGGATGTTTTCCAAAGGCCTCAATGTTAGAGCCCTTGGTCCTTTTTTGACACTGTTAGGTGTCAGTCATGGTTCTAGAGGGGGCTAAATTTCAGGAATCTTTTTTTAAAACATATTTTTTATGGTTTATTTAACTTTATTTTATGTGCATTGGTGTGAAGGTGTCAGATCCCCTGCAACTGGATCTTCAGACAGTTGTGAGCTGCCATATGGGTGCTGGGAATTGAACTGGATCCTCTGGAAGAGCAGTCAGTACTCTTAACCACTGAGCCATCTCTCCAGCCCCCAATTTCAGGAATCTTTAAGAGATGGGGTCTAAGCCTGATTGGTGGCGGCACACCCTTTTAATCCCAGCACTCGGGAGGCAGAGGTAGGAGGATCTCTTTGAGTTTGTAGGCCATCCTGGTATACAAAGAGAGTTCCAGGACAGCCAAGGCTTTTCTAAGAG